AAGCCAACATGAATACTTCTATCAAAAAAAGAAAAAAATTGTGCTATGCATATAAAATAAAACAAATAGTACAACAGTAGGGCTAAGATATCAAATGCAATTATGTGTTTTAAAAATCAACACTTAAAATACTATTTGTTCCTTCAATGTTTTTTTTTGAGACAAAGTTTTGCTGTCTCCCAGGCTGGAGCGCAGTGGCATGATCTCGGCTCACTGCAATTTCTGCCTCCTGGGCTCAAGCGATTCTCATGCCTCAGCCTCCCAAATGGCTGGAATTACAGGCATGTGCCACTATGCCTGGCTAACTTTTTTTATTTTTAGTAGTAGAGACAAGGTTTTGCCATGTTTCCCAGGCTGGTCTTGAAATCCTGAGCTCAGGTGATCTGCCTGCCCTGGCCTCCCAAAGTGCTAGGATTACAGGTGTGAGCCACTGTGCCCAGCCTCTTCCTTCATATTCCAATATCCACAGCTTATTCAATATTTACAAGTATTGGAAAGAACACTTTGCAGAATATATACAGAAATATGATATGGTACTCCCTAAGAGGCTTGCTGCCAAGTAGTACAGGCAGAAACAACAATGATTGCAAGGCAAAATGAAATGAGTACTATCATAAAGGTGCAAAGGGCAAGGGAAAGGAAACATCAAGAGTAATTCAATACAACTGAGAGAAACTGGGTAAGTCTTTTTGGAAGGAGAGGCACTGAAACAGTCTTGAGAGGATGAGAAATAACTTGATAGGATGCTAAAAGTACGGAAGGTCTGTGCTTTCATGGGTGTTTATAAGATGAGTAAAAGCAGTATCTCGGAAATGCAGAGCATGCTCAGGTAAGCGTGGTAAAGAACAGGGGAGAGACAAAATAGATAAAACAAGTTAGAGCCAGGTCATGGAAGGCCTTGAAACACTACACTCAGAAGCCTGAAACCTATTTAGTAGCAGTGATAAAACTATCAGTGATTTTGAGCAAGGGTGATATGGATCAGTGTAAGGAGAAAAAATGATGGAAATCTTGATGTTGAAAAAGCTAGAATGAACTAGGCAGTATATGGTTACTAGAAAAAATGGGGGAAAAAAGAGGCCGGTCCGAGTGCAGTGGTGTTTACAACTAATTGATTACAACCAGTTACAGATTTCTTTGTTCCTTCTCCACTCCGACTGCTTCACTTGACTAGCCTTAAAAAAAGGGGAGGGGGGCGGGGGGAAGGATAGATACTAAAAACTGGAAAGGATTGCTAAAGAAATCAGTTGACTGAAATGTCTGGCTTGCCTACTGGTACAGTAGTGGTTTTAGGAAGGAGAAACATATGTTTTCTATTTAGACAGTGTAGTAATTTGGACCATGTATAGTTTTGTACATATTCACCATGAGACAAGAGACAAGACACAAGACAAAACAGTATTACATATACTTAGTATGAGGTATATAGTATGATCTTAGAACTATCAACCTGTGCAGAAATACAGTTGCTAAATTCTTTTTCCTCCTCCTCCAACTCCTCTGGAGTTTATTCTCTTTTACTTAGTTATTAATCACTAGCATTTCAAGTTCTAAGTCTTTTTATCTTCTCTTGCCATATTGTCTGCCTAAGGAATCTCAAATCATACTCACAACATCAATTATTATCTATATGCTAAATACTCTTCATTATTTATATTTCGAGTCTTAAGTTTTCCTATGAGCTTCAGACCTATATACACCACCCATTTAATGTCTCTCCCCTTGGGTATGGCAAATGTATCCAAGTCACGTAACAGATCAACTCATGATCTTCGCACTAACATCTAATTCTCTTCCAAGGGTCCCTCTTTCAGAATGATCCCAATATTTATCCTGTCGCAGAAGCTGGCAACTCAGAAATCACTACTGATACTCTTGTCCACCATTTCCTCATATTTGGCTCAGTCCTTTTTATTGTCATATCTTTCCATCTTTACTACTATACTTTCCCTTCAGCACACAGAGCTTAGCTATCATAATCAACCCTCCTCAAAAGCATCCTACATTTTTGCCCCTTTCCAACCTACTTTCCTTACTACTACTAGTAGAATAACCTTTCCAAAATAAAATTGATGTCATCCTTCCTGTCCACACACACTACACCCTTGTAGAAAACCCTTCGATATTTTCCTAGTGCTCTTCAAGTCCACAATTGGCCAGGCGGGTGGATTACTTAAGCTCACGAGTTTGACACTAGTCTGGGCAACATGGTGAAACCCCATCTCTATTAAAAATACAAAAAACAAATTAGCCTGGCATGGTAACAGGCACCTGTAATCCCAGCTACTCAGGAGGCTGGGGCAGGAGAATCACTTGAACCCAGGAGGTGGAGGCTGCAGTGAGCCAAGATCATGCCTCTATACTCCAGCCTGGGCAACAGAGCGAGACTCTGTCTCAAGAAAAAAACAAAAACTGAAGAAGCAAGAGAAAAAAAAAAAAAAAAAAAGAAAAAGAAAGAAAAGAATAAAGTCCACAATTTAACATGGCCTATAAGGCTTTACAGAGTCTAGTTCCTATGTATTTTTCTGGACTCATCTCACATCTCTCCCTTCCTTACTCTTCTCCAGCAACTTCTTCATAGATGTCATGCTTTGTCCCACATGAAGTCTTTGCACATGCCTTTCTCTTAACCTGGAATGCTCTATTCCATCTCTTTCTTAGCACGCTTAAATTGTTCTCAATCTTTAGGTTTCAGGTCAAACATCATTTCATAAGGGAAAATTCCTATTTCTCAAAGCACTATACCTTTATTCTTTTATTATACATCACTAGTTATAAAGATTATTTGTATTATGTTTCCCCTATGAGATGAAAACTCCAGACAGTGTCCATTTTTCTTCATAATGTACCCCACCTCCACCCTTTTCCCAAAGCCTGATACTTAAGAGATTTGCATTAAAAATTATTTGAATATATGCATGAATCAATGTGATTCAATAGAGGTGATACTAGACCCCATATAAACAGATGAAAACACCAAAACAGGGAGACATGAGGCAAAAGAGAGACGTGGGGCAACCTAAATTTAAAAGATAGGCAGAGAGGAAGCAAAGGGAATGGGAAGTTATTGGTTAACATGAGTACAGAATTTCAGTATGGGATGATGAAAAAGTTTAGTTTAGTATAGGATGATTAAAAGTTCTGTTCATCTGGATACGGTAGTGACAGCTGCACAGTAAGATGAATGTACTTAATGTGACAGAACTGTATATTTTTAAAGGGTGAAAATGGGTAATTTTGTATTATATAATTTTATGACAATTTTTAAAATGGGCAGAAAAGGAAGAATCTTCAAAGAAGACCGAAAAGAAAAGAGCAGGGAGGGTAAATGAGGGTTAAAAAGACAATACAGTATCATAAGAAGTGAAGAAATTTTATGAATGAGTGGTAGTGCACTGCAGAGAAGCTGAGTGTGAAGGAGTAGAAAATGTTCTGCTGCAATGCAGTACTTCAGCTCCAAAAAGGTGTATTTTTAAAAACAATCTCCTTGGGAAATGGGGGATTTACAACTATGAAGTTCAAACTTGTAAAAGTCAATTTTTTTTCCTTAAAAAATGTTAAACATATTTGTATTTCAAATATACATTGTATTTATAGTTGTAGCTATTGTTCTATGAATACAGCTATAAAATTTAAACAATCTTAAACAGATGCAGTACTTAATTACACCTAATTATGGTTCAAGAGTAACTGCCTTTCTTACACACTCCTACTAATACCCTCCTTACAATAAAGCAAAAAGCCACTTGCTCAAAATTCCTATTTTTGAGGTGTAGCAGCTCTGCTTTTACCCCTCAAGTCCAAGCTGCTAGTCCCAATTGCTAATAATTTGTACTCCTTAGGACGTTTTAAACCAGGGGTTGCTTAAAAAAAAAAAAAAAAAAAAAAAAAAATATATATATATATATAGCTTTCAGGCCAAATCTAGTCCACCACCTGTTTCTGTAAGTAGTTTTACTGGAACACAGCCATGCCAGCTCATTTACGTATTGTCAATGGCTGCTTGCATGTTACAAGTGCAAAGCTGAGTAACTGCAACAGAGATCTTACAGGCAACAAAGGCTAAAATTGTTATCTGGTTCTTTGCAGACTAAGTTTGCCAGAGTTTTATTTATTTGTTTACTGTCTGACTCCTCTGATAAGAATATAAGCTCCGAAAAGTAAGTCATATTTTGGTCTATTATATTCATTGCCATATCTTCAGAGTTGAGAACAATGCCTATTATAGCAGATTCCTGACATATATTGTGGAATGACCAAAATTCCTAATTAAATTATAAATGATATTGTTTTTAAGGTGGAGTACTGAAAAACAGTTTCTAGGGATTTTTTCTTTTTTTTTTTTTGGCAACATTAGGGTCTTGCTCTGTCACCCAAGCTGGAGTGCAGTGGTGCAAACACGGCTCACTGCAACCTCAACTTCCTGGGCTCAAGGGATCCTCCTGCCCCAGTCTCCTGAATAGCTGGGACCACAGGCACACACCACCATGCTTGGCTATTTATTTGTTTATTTTTTGAGACAGAGTTTCACTCTTGTTACCCAGGCTGGAGTGCAATGGCGCGATCTCGGCTCACCGCAACCTCCGCCTCCTGGGTTCAAGCAATTCTCCTGCCTCAGCCTCCTGAGTAGCTGGGATTACAGGTGCGCGCCACCACGCCCAGCTAATTTTTTGTATTTTTAGTAGAGACAGAGTTTCACCATGTTGACCAGGATGGTCTCGATCTCTTGACCTCGTGATCCACCCACCTCAACCTCCCAAAGTGCTGGGATTACAGGCATGAGCCACCGCACCCAGCTTGCCTGGCTATTTTTTAAAATATATTTTGTAGAGGCAAGGTCTCACTGTGTTGCCCAGGCTGGTCCTGAACTCCTGAGCTCACCCAAAGTGCTGGGATTACAGGTGTGAGTCACCGCACCCAGCCCTCTTGGAATATTCTTTTTTCTTTCAATCATGTTCCTTCTGTAGGACTATTTCTCAATACATGGTCAGACGGTTTCTATACTTAATATTCTGTGGCATTAAGTACATTAATGTCACAAATTGGTCAGAAAATTCGTAGTTATTTTAAATGGTCTACCAGCTTGTCTACATATTTCTAATAATCTCTTATAAATATAACTTAAATCAAGTTTCAGGGTATAATTCAAACAAACAAGCTGATAGTCATACTAAACATTTTTTAAAATCACAGAAAGGCTATTGCTTTTTCAAAAAGGCTTCTTTGGCCAGGTACGGTGGCTCACACCGGTAATCCCAGCACTTTGGGAGGCTGAGGCAAGCAGATCACCTGAGATCAGGAATTTGAGACCAGCCTGGCCAACATGGTGAAACCCTGTCTCTACTAAAAATACAAAAATTACCCAGGTACGGTGGTGGGTGCCTGCAATCCCAGCTACTCAGAAGGCTGAGACAGTAGAATTGCTTGAACCTGGGAGGCGGAGGTTGCGGTGAGCCAACATCGCATCACTGCACTCCAGCCTTGGTGACAGAGCAAGACTCCATCTCAAAAACAAAAACAAAACAAACAAAAGGGCTTCTTTTCATGGAGGAAAAGTAATACTTTAGTGTCAAAACTGACCCAGATTCAGAAGCTGTGTAGTAACATCTCGTAAGTCATTTGCATATAATAACCACTATCCCTTACAGCCAAATAACTTCACCTTACTGTATGCCATTAACTGTTCAGCTAGTCTCCCCTCTGCTTCCTCTGTTCATTTTCAGCTTAAACTCTAACAACAAAGCACATATTGTTTTCTATAATAAAGCCAAAATAAGTAATTTTAAGTATATAGCTGCCAAGTAAATATAAAGCAGAAAAACAAAAACAAAACTAATCATGCATCAACCCTTTACTATCTGAACATTTTATAAAACAGTAAGAGTCATAAAACAGATTGAGAGAAACGCAAGAAGAAATCAACAATATTTTTCCTACATTTCTGCCCACACTGGCATGCTACATTAAATGTCATAAATAGCCACAGACACATTTTGTCAGCTTTGTGACTGCTATTAAACAAAAGAGCATAAAAGCAATTTAAACCTAAAATGCCAAATAGAAAAACATAACAAGGGAAATAAATACATTCACTCAGCACTTACTGTTAGCCAGAAAACATGCTACGGTCTTTCATATAACAACTCTTAAAATTACCTTTCAAGGCTCATTATTCTTATGAGATAACTGAGCTCACAGAAGTTAAATAATGCAGTGACAGAGCAATTAAGGGCTAGAGTGAGAACAAGGTCTCTGTTGTTCTCCACTTATAACTTTCTACTGCATCAGTTTCTCCAAAGAGTGGAATGTGAGATGACTTTATATACTAGACATTTTACATTTTAATAGTTATTTAACTTGTCTTAGAAAAAAGTTTATCATGTAAAATTCATTATTTCATGGATATCATTCTTTGGGATGAGGCTAAATAAGAACAATATTTTTAAAAAAAGCTATTAAGTAAATGATAGAACAGGGTTATGTGAACATGGGAAAAACTCTTATGATGGTAAGAACAATGAGATTTGAAAAACGCTCCAAGCAAAGAATTGCTTCCTAACAAAACATTGCTCAACATTTATTGTTTTTAACTAAAGAAAGCAAAGAGATGAATTTACAAGTAAAATTATAGACATACCTGACATAGTTTGATCAAGTTTGTGGATAAGAGACTTTTTAGCACACTCAACATCAGGACTTGGGTAATCCAAAACTTGCCTGCACCAAACTAATGGACTAACCGATTTCTGCATTGGTGTAAGTTTTTTCTTTGGTGATGAATACAGCCTAGAAGAAGACAACAAGAGACAAAATAAAATTCCTTATTAAGCACAAGGTTATAAAACAGAGGTCCTTTTGGATAGATTTAAATTGGGGAGAAGGGAGTAAAAGTGATAAAGTATATTTTAAATCACCCATATTAATTACTGCACAGAAAATTATAGTAAGTCAATCAACATAAATCCAAATTTCAACTACTAAGTGAACCCAAATGAGGCATTCCTAAAGTATGTCTTTAACTAAGACTAAGAGAAAACACCTGTCTTTCTGTTTATTATGTTTTCAACAGTACTTGACTAACTCCCTAATATAGCTGTATTATTAACTCTAATAATAAGGAGGAGCTAAGTTCCTTGCTCTCCACCTATTTCCCTTCCCACAACATATACAAATATCTACCATTAGGGATTCATTCCTTTTAGTTAAGCAGTATCCAATTTGTAGTCCTCTTTTCAAATGACAATGTGTTGGAGAAAAGCAAAACTTTAAACCCTAAATAACTAAATGTGAATCAATTACTAAATTGCTTCAGTTTCAGAAAAGAATCAAGAGACAGTATTTTATAAGCTAATAGGGAAGGTATACAGAAGGGAAAAGGTGAACAGAAAATATGGAGGCACATACATATATTTTCTACTTTGTGTTTTTTTCTCAGATTAGTCCAGATTATGTCCGTTGTTATTAATTTATTCCAAGCATGACTCCACATGAAAAATGCAAATAGTTATTGATTCCTAACCAGGGTGACTTTCAAATTAAGACACTAAGTGGAATTTATGAAGCAGACAAAATTAGGCTTTGATACTGTATGTCTAGATAGTGAAAGGTTTCGATAAAAAGTTAAAAATTTCACATTTACATTAATCAAGTTAATGCAATAATATGAAGTGTTGTTTCACTGTAAATATTTAAATAAATGTATATCTACAGAACTAGAATAGACAAACTACTTTTAGCAGCAACAGTACCTTTTCCATCATTTGTCTCTTTCCCCCTATCTATACCTTAGGTCTGTCACTCACATGCATTATTTTAGTTTTGATCAAGATCATCAAGGCTAATGGGGTAGATGACCATTTCTTTATAATCCATATTCATTTAAACAAAAATAGTGAAATAAAATCTCAATTTACAGAATAACTGAAAACTCAAAATGAAACCAATGGGGTTCATTCTCTTTTCCAACTCAAATACTGCAAAGGTTCCTTAACAAATCTCTACCTCAGCAACTCCACTTTAAAGATTATGGTAAATATTATATACTGATATTCTATGTCAGCAAATGTTTAGCAAGATAAACCTCTATAGATGAATAATTAAAAAAAAAACATTTTATGGTATTATCACTACTCTTTTGGTATGTATCTTTTTCCTACACTGATGGAATTTACATAATTTACCCACACGGCTCATACATACTAAGCACAGAGTTCCCCTACTGCTAGCTATAAAACTCCTTTTTAAAAAGTGCAAAACATGGCTGGGCGAAATGGCTCACATCTGTAATCCCAGGACTTTGGGAGGCTGAGGTGGGCAGATCACCTGAGGTCAGGAGTTCGAGACTAGCCTGGACAACATGGCAAAACCCCATCTCTACTAAAAATACAAAAATTAGCTGACCGTGGTGGCAGGCGCCTATAATCCCAGCTACTCGGGAGGCTGAGGCAGGAAAATCGCTTGAACCTGGAGGTGGAGGTTGCACTGAGCCGAGATCATGCTACTGC